GTGGCAAACAGATTGCTGCTGGGTATCTGTGCTGTTTCTGCAGTTCTAAGTTCCTGAGGTTTGTTCACTGAAATTTCAGGCAGCGGCATATACCCTAGGGATATAGGGATGATATCACTGCCACTTTGGCTGAGCCTCAGAATAAGTTACACAGAGAGGAGAGAGCACCCCCCCCCCCCGCCCCATACACTCCCTCCTAGCCTCATTTCCTTCTTGCCAGAGGAGGAAACCAGGCAGTGAACTGAGTGTTTAGGAGTGTTTGGTCCTGGAGTCCAACTTCCTGAGTTCCCGTCCTGGCTCAGTCAGGTGCCATCTGTACAGCCTGGTATGTGTCAGTGAGCCTTCCTGAGCTGCCCCAGTTCGTCTATAAATGAGACGGCGGAGCCCGTGAAAACCTCAAGGGCTGTTGTATAGGATAAAGAAGGTAATTCATGTAATGAGTTTGCATAGTGCCTGAGACATGCTGGATGTTCCATGAGCATTAGTTACCAAAGGCTCTCATTTAAAAATTCAAAAGAATTGATATTAGGAAGACCAAGCATCCACTGTGCATGTATCCTCACACACTGGGGGTGACAAGGGGGAAAAGGGGGTGACCCGGTGAGCAACCAGGGAAGAATTTGAAGTCTCTACAGCTGAGATTTGAGGGACAGGCAGAGGAAGGACCGGAAGGCATGGGGAGGTTCTAGGTGGGGGAGCTGTGTGAGCAAAGGTGCAGAGCCGGGAAGTGAGGGGCCTCTTGGGGGAACCAGCATTTATGCTCATGCTCCTGCAGGATGAGGAGCCCAGGAGAGAAGAAGAGTCATGACTGGAGAAGCTGGGTTTGAGCCAGCTCACAAGAAGACTTTTCGATGAAGGTCTGATGAGTTCATTGCCAAGGAAAACTTCATTCAAGTTTTACCCGAAGTCTGATGACGACATTGCCCCACGTAGCCATACCGATTCCTGCCACACCTTCGGTCCATTTTGGCATTTCCACCTCACACGGGTTGATTCTCAAGTCTGCATTTGTGCATACTGCTTGGGTCTCTCCCCAAATGAATACTGCTGTAGAAACACCGTATTTCCAAAGAGAAAACCTAGAGCTAGTCAAGAATATAAATTCAAGGGCAAGATCCATGGCATTCAACCAAATAAATAGCCATCCGTGTGGCATGCTATGAAGCTTTAATTACTGTGCTCAAGATCAAAGTGACATTACTCAAGAGTGGAGAAGCCAAATGTAAACCAAGGAAGTCTTCCTTAAACAAGTGATGACCAATTCCCTGAGCTTAGTCCAATATTCCACTGTATTTATACCCACAATCACCCAATGACCCTTAAGCACTCGTGTAAGCAGGAGAGTGTGGTATTGGGCTGTGTCGTGTAGGACAGAGTTTACTGGGTGGTGCTCACAAAACATGCAAGGATATTAATGCCCCAGGAAGATGGCTTTGGGCTGAAGGCAGAGTATCCTTATATGTGTAGTTCCAGGCTGTGATCCCGAGTATTAAACCCTGAGCCTAGTTTAGATATTTGTTAATATCTATACTTTACTGTTTCTGTTTTTCCAACTTCATTACACAATAACCTAACATATTAGCCATCTGCTCTACTCCAGACCCTAGGGAGAGGAGGAGTGAGATGGGGCCAGAGGGTCTTTTCATAAAGGTCTATTTTGGGAAAGATACAGACAAGAAAGTACTTGGGAGTCAGGAAGAGAGATTGCTTTACTGGTCCATAGATCAGAAATTAGAAACCCTGGGGTCTGTAGTTCTGGTTTTCATTATTAAATTCAGATTGAGGATAAACACTTTATTTCCTTTGCTCCTGTCCCTCTTTTCTCTGAATTCACAATATCACCAGCATCCAGTCACCCCATGTCCTCTCTGCAGGGTAGGAGACTGAAAACCAACCCCTTCTTCACCTTGACTGATGCTCCACTGTTTTGGGCTTTCAAAGGGGGAGAGAAGAGAGATGGGGGAACAGGAGACACTGCCAGGGGAGGTGGCAAAGTGCTCCTGAGCCATTTGCATGAGCTTAGAAGTGAGGAAGTAGAGTTAAAACCTTCAAGATCCTTTGCAATGTGGCCTCAACCCATGTCTCCAGAGGTCTCCCATTTCTTAGTCTTCCAAATTCTTGGCTCCAGGTATCCACTCCTACTCATTGACCCCTTGCAGAAACCCCTGTAGATTTGCTATTCCAAAGTCATTCTGAATATCATTCTCCTTTGCTGCTCCCCACTACAGAGACTGGAAAGGCAAACACACACTTTCCCCATCTCTGTTGCAGGTGTGGGTGAATCTGTCAGTTCTGGCCCAGTAGATAGAAGTGGAAATCTGCTGGGGGAGCTTCTGCCTTTGTTTCCTCATAAAATTAGACAGATACTACCGATACAGTCTTTCCTCCTCTCCCTTTTTTCCTGCCTTGAACATGGACGTGATGGCCGGAGCAACAGCAGCCATCTTGCAGCCATGAGGGAAAGAGCAAGTGCGGATGTAAGTAAGGAGCTGCTGCACCTACAGCTAGATATCTTGCTACATGAGAACATAAAAGTGTTTTATTTTAAGCTGCTGTTGGCTCAGTTGTCTGTTACTTATAGCTTAATTCATCCCTAAATGTGGCCCTGGACTAGGTCCTGGGGTAAGCGGAAACAAAGCAGATCTGGTTCTCCGCCTCATTATCAAGAGAGAGAGAAAATGAGTAAGTCTCCAAACTGCAAATACAAATGGTGGTTTGTATTAAGAAGGAAAACATAAACACAACATTATGATAGAGAGCAGTGGGGGGCCCTAGCTTAGACGGAGGGGCTACTGAAGACCTTTTTGAGGAGGGGGTTAAGTTAGGACCTATAGGATGAGAAGGGCCAGCCGCTTGAAAAAGAAGTAAAAAAGGTTCCATGCAGACATAACAGCTAATGCAAAGGCCCCAGCACAATAAAGAGCTTAGAGTGTTCAAGGAGGTAAAAGTTCAGGATGCTGGAGGATCAAAGGCAGAGATAGAGAGAAAGGAAAGGGAAGGAGTGGTCAGGGGCCAAATCACATGGCCTGGCAGGGTGTGAAACAGAGTGTACATTTCAGTTTAAGGGCTAAGTGAGAGTTTTAAAGCCAGTCCCTCTTGATGTTGCATAGAAAAGGATTGAAGGGAGGTAAGACCAATTGGGAGGTCTCTGCAGGTGTCCAGGGAAGAGAGATGGTGACGTGGCCTAGGATGGTCCAGTGGACAAAAACTTGCCTCTGTGGCACTTACTGATGTAGTAACACTCACTGGTCACCTCCTCCTTGCTGATTTTCTCACTTTCCTCCCATACCACCAGCTGTGTGTTTTTGATCGTTGTTAGGCTCTTTTCCTCTGCTCTTCTCTGAACATCGGGGTTCCCCTGAGATCTCACCTACATTCTCTTCTCACTCCACAGCCTTTCCCTGGGAGCAGCCATAATTCATCCACTCCATCAGTACCTTCGTGACCTCCACACATAGTCCGCAGCTCAGATTTCTTCTTTAGCATCAGACCCTCCTTCCGGCTGCCTAGGAAACAGCCCCACCTGGGTGCTCCATGGGCCTGACCCTCTTGTAAATAGTGCTCTCCATCACGGGCTTCTCGCCTGTGCTCCCTCCCACCGAGAGGGGAGGGTCCCATCCACCCCGCCTTAGCCAACTTCCTGGGCATTGTCCTTGACCCCTTCTCCCTCGTCTCACCCACCTCTTCTCCTCCAAGCCCCATTGATCCTGTTTCTCTCAAACTGTCCCCTTCTCCAACCCCATGCCATCATCCTGGCTTCTAGGTCTCCCTCATAGAGTTTCCTGAGTGGTCTTCCTACCACCAACTGCATTCCCTTCTATTTTCCACACCGAGGACAGAAGTTTCCCTTTAAAACATGATGGTATCATGTTCCGGCTCAAAGTCATTCAGTTACTTTTCATAAAATTCAAAACCTTTGACATGACCTAGGGCCCCCGTGGCCTCACTTTTGTCTCAATCCCGAGTTCAGTGTGTGAGCCTGTGGGCCCTCAGCCATGTGTGAGGGTCACGACGGTAACTTCCTCACAGGGGGTGTACGTGGGGCACGTGGGGGTGACTCAAGGGACCCAGCAATGGGTCTGGCAGGTGGCCAGGACTCAGGGCCAGTGTGCTCTCCCACTGATCTTCAGAGAGGGGCCTAGCCTGGCCCTCAGAAGGGATTGCTATTCTAAACGGTTGCCAGGAAAGGTGATGGCATACCTGTCACTCCTTTCCTTAGCAAATCCCGTTTTATGTCCAGTGAGAACCCTTCCTGGTGAGGATTCAAGCTCATGTTTGTTTCTTTCCTCACTGCTTGTGTAGTGACTTTCTGATGGGTGCCAAGGTGGTTTTCTCCCAGAAAACCTGTCCAGCGGTCCCCAGGGTTGAGGGGTTGGGAGGGTGCCTGTTGACAGGGCCAGGCTTTGGCACACCCTGGGAGGATCAGCATACTCTCTACGTGCCCTGTGACCTGCCCAGCTTTTTCTGTCCTCTTGCTGACCCACACATTCTGTTCCAGCTCAGCAACTTTCCCACCTGCCCCTCACAGCCTCGGGGGGCGGGGTGTGTGTCCATTTCCTTCCCTACAGGCCAAACTGCACATTCTTCTTCAGTTCATCAAACTTGTCCTCAGCTTTTTCTCACTTCATCTTATTCCCACGGATAAATCCTCCAAGCAGTTCTTGCCTCCAGGGATATGTATCAGAATGTGATGATTTTTTTCCCCTTGGTTTACTTTTGTCCCTCCTGGAACGCTTCATGGGCCACAGTTGCAAACAGGATCCTCAACTTCTAATCATAGAATCCCTATGACACGGTCGTGGTAAACATCTATCATGTTGGGACGGTCTAGCATCTGGGACACATCTTCCCAGACCGGGGTCTTTGATTTGTAATTATGAAGGATTTTGGAACTAAATTTGGGATTCCTGTCCCAGTAAGCGTCATCATTAGTACTTATAACATATTATTTATAAGACTGTGCCATCTTGGAAATAACTATACTCTGGATTTGTCTCAGTTTAAGTCAAAGATCTTTATTTTCAGGCCTCTTTTAGACAAAGGTCTTGCAAGAATCAGAAATGACAGATGGTGCACAAATCACATTTTCTCCTCCACCACAAAAGGACAGGGTCAATAATTTTTTGTGATCTGTTTTGAGTGACCCAGATAGCTGGGAAAACATTGCTGGATTTTTTTTTCTGATCTACCACAGAACTTTCTAAGTCAGTTCAAATGTTCCTTCCTATTTTGGCTGTCTTAGTTCCTACCAGGAGAGAAAGAGCATAGACAGAATAGGCGTATTTCATAAAACTGGCAGTACACAGCTTTGAAGGGACGTCAGCGAAGCTGGAGACACAGTTGGCAGCTGTGCCCCCTCCTTCCCCCCTCGGGAAGTGGACCCAGAAGCACAGGGCCGGGAAGTTGTAAGGCGGCGAGTTCCTCATGCTTTCACCAGCCAGACCTCATTGCGACGTCCGTAGGGCTTCATGGGAGGGTCATATCCAGTGCAGAAGTAGACGTCACTGCAGCAGGTGGCCGTGCCCTCCAAGGCTGTACGCAGCTGGGTGGCATGAGCTATGTAGTCGGCCTCCTTCGCGTAACCGCCGAACTGCCTAAGGTAGAAGCAAATGAGGGGTTGATTAGGAGAAGACATGATCCCCAAGGGGGCGGGGGGAGTCTTTCTTATTTTTTATTATTTATCATTTTCTAAAGATTTTTATTTATTTATTTATTTATAAGTAAATGGTGCAGGCAGAGGGAGAGGGAGAAGCAGGCTCCTTACTGAGTGGGGACCCTGACATGGGGCTCAATCCTAGGGCCCCAGGATCATGACCTGAGCCGAAAGCAGAAGCTTAACTGACTGAGCCAACTGGGTGACTTTTTTTTTTTTTTTTTTTTAATTTTATTGAGAGCAGGGCATCTTTAAAAAAAAAAAAGAAGTCATTTGCCACTCTCAGTACGACAAGCGTGCTAGAGCAGGGGCTGTCGCTCCCTGAAAGGTGGATTTGATCCCTCGGATCCTCACTTGCGCACCTGGGATAGGCTGTTGTTTTTCCTCCGGGGTCGTTATGAGCTTTAAATACAATAATGGATGTGAATAGCTCTAATGCAGAGCCAGAAACACAGCAGTCAAGTACTAAGCATAAGCTTGCCTTTCCTTCCCGAAATGTCCCCGAGGGATGGTAGGCTGACCTTCCCCTAGGCCATGGCTTCACCTTTCTCTCTAGCTCCTTCTTGCCTTGGCAGCCCTTCCTCCAGGCCCCTCTGTCTCCAGCTGGGGAAGGAGGAAGATGGCAGGAGCATTAGGTAGGATAGAGCTGTAGCTAACGCTTCTCCCCCAGCAGATCCTTTCTGATGAGTGAACACATCACAGCGGTGACAAGTAGCAGCTTTGTTAAAAAACAGAGGGACCAAAGGACCCCAAGGAAGTCTTGGGAGGCCCCATGGCAAGCTTGAAGCATGCCCCAAATAAAGAAATCACTTCTCATAAATCCCTTTTCCTGTTCAAATCATGAAAGCTTTCTTTTTCTAGTAAGTAAAAAGACTTTCCTAAATCAGGCTTCTCTCTTAATGGCAGAAGGTGGGTACAGAGAAGGAATAAAGCTTGCCTTTTCGAGATGATTATTCCCTCCTTACGTCATCTGCCTACGCTCCAAAATTCATCCTGTGGCTTGCCCTAAATATACCAGTCTAAATCTGGGTTGCACTAAAATCTTTATTAGAGTCAAATATGTCCCCATTTCTAATGAGCTTCATGACTCAAAAGTCTGAATCTGCACTAGGCCAAGATTAGGCCAAATGCATTATTTTTGGTGGGGTTCTCTGAGTCATGCTTTGCTCTTTTATAAGTGGTTAGTCATGCTCGACAAGCATTCAGCATGTTGATTATAGGGTTATTGATGTAAAAACACCCAGGATTTCATCTTTAAGGGATTGGTTCTTCCAACGTCTAGACAGTCGCTAACAGTACACGGACAGAGCCGAGACCACTTTGGAATAGAGGAGGCTTGGTTCAAGTATATAGAAGAGAGATCATAAGGCTGATGAGGAAAATTGAACTCCAGCTTCACTGAGGCTCAAATGAGAGGAAAGTGGATTAGTAGACCCAGGGTGAACATTAAGGGAAGACTGTCCTGGCAGTAAAAGTCTGCAAGACTATGGGATTACTTTGAAAGAATGTCTATAGGTTGAGAACCACTTGCCTGAGATGAATCAGATGCTGAAGGTAGGAGCGGGTGTTGAGTGTCCGCTGTACCCCGCATTCAGGCTGTGACACTCAGTTCTTTTCCTTGAAAATGAGCCATGTTGGCTCTTTAGGCTACTGGATTTTAGAAATGTCCAAAGGAAGAAGGGTCCTCAACTCATCAGTTGGTGACAAGAGGGCTAGCTGTGTGCTCAGTCCTACCTCAGCCCCTCTCTCGTTCTTGGTCTTGTGCAAGGCTTCAACTTCTCTAACCTTCAGGTCCTTTGTGTGCTAAATAGGGCTGACCAATCTGTCTTAGAAGGTTGCTGTGAAGACGGAGGGAGACAAGATGGAGGCTGCTGTGCTCAGTGCTGGCTCATAGTAGGCCCACGACAAACAGGAGCTATTACTGTCATTTTGCAATTGCTCAGGACACCCATCGGGTTCCCTGCCTCCTGGGGTGAGGGACATGATGGGAATCTCAAGTAGTATCAGGAACCCAGGAAGAGAGCCTAGGAATGACCAGCTGGCTCGATGAACTATCTCACCTTCTCCCCTGGGCCTTCTCTCAAAACCCTAATCTTTAACCCCACTCCCTTTTCCCATTCTTTTCCCTTTTTCTCTTTCTTTTCTTTCTCACTCTCTTCCCCCTCCGCCCTCTTCTTCTTTCCTTCCTTCTTTCCTTCCTTTCTTCATTCCATCCTTCCTTTTCTTTCTTTCTTTCTTCTTCTCTCTCTCTCCCTTCCTTCCTTCCTTTCTTCCTCAGCACTTATGACCTTCTAACATACTATATAATTCATTTACTATGTTCACTGTTTATGGTCTGAGTTTTCCGGTAGAGTATAGGCCCCATGAAGGCAGGGATCTTTGTCACTTTCTGTGCACTGGTGTAGCCAGAGCACCTAAAAGGTGCCTGACACATGTTCGATCCCTTGGCCAAGTCAACAATTCTGGGGTAAACAGTAAAAGTTAGTGTCTTCAGGTCTTCAGGTTGATAGATCTCAAGATGATTGCACTTAAGACTGTTTGCCTCCACATTCACTCACTCATATAATGAAATCTGAAGCACACACTAAGGGTGGGAATTCAAACAAGGAAACTGGACTGACTGGAGCCACACTGGGAAGGGCCTTGAATGCCATGCTGACGACTTTGAAAAGGTGGGCTTACGAAGGCTTTGAAAGTAAGGGGCTGACATGATCAGGTTTGTTTTGGAGAAATCCCTCTGGCGGCAGTGGAGGGAAAGAGATGGAATTGTTGGAGGCCAGGAACTACCATGTGTGAGATGGCAAACACCTCTGAACAAAGGCAAACTTGACAGGTGACTAGAGGTGAGGGGAGGCGGGGAGAGCAGGAAGTTGAGGATTCTCCAGGGTTTCCAGGGCAGTCTCTGGATAGAAGCTGCTGCTAGGGATGCTAGGGTGAAGAAAAGGAGGGGTGGGGGAGACTAATAATATGGTTTGGGGGCCATGTTGATATGAAGGTATGTCTATGAAATACATTCATGAAACAGCTGTTGTGTGCCCAAGTGTGTGTCAGGCACTGCAAATCTCCTTAGAAGACCTGGCAAAGGACCAGAGCCAGAGATCCAGTGTTGGGAAGAGGTGGGCCTGGTGACAGATACTGGGAGTCCTCAGTGAGTAGGTACTGACTATCATCACGGGAAGGAAGGAGACAAGGCCTAGATGGTGAGCAGACATAGAGGGTCAGCGGGCTGCTCTTGGGCATCCTGGTCCCCAGGTGGTGGGTGGAAGAAGTGGCCTTGGCAGGGGCCCCTAAAGAAGGAGCTGAGAAAAACACAGAGACCCAGCAAGTGATATGGAGAATGTCATCATCTGGGGATTCATAAATTCACTTAAAAAACGCTCCCCAGGGACGCCTGGGTGGCTCAGTTGGTTGGGCAGCTGCCTTCGGCTCGGGTCATGGTCCCGGCGTCCTGGGATCGAGTCC